TAGAAATCATGCTACCAAATGTCCTTTTCTATGTATCATTTTCTTGATAATTTGCAGTGATCAATTAGAACTATAAACGTCCAAAGATAGTTATAATCACCTTCATCATATTAGTTTAGCCAAGCCAAATTGTGCCCAAAAATGCGTAAAATTCCACCTTTTTTCCAATAACCATGCACTATTAGCATGCACTTTGAATTTTTGCCTTAGCCTCATCTGACTTAGTATTGTAGGCCTGCTCCTTGCCATAACTGTATATATCATTAGTAGCAATAAGATTAAGATCTGAATTGCATTTGCCAACGATTACCTCCATAGATGTTGCTATGGACAGTATCTTTCAAAATGCGTTCCCTATTGTCTAGCAACCATTTGCCAGCCTACAAACTAAGAAGGAGAACTGCATACCTCAACAGTATGCAAGGGTATTCTCTATCATGGGCATGATTGATTTGAACACGGTGATTCTGTGCAATGTCTCTGTGGGCTGCCAGATTGCACTGATTTTAGAGGATATTCCAAGCTTTTGATTTGCATTCCTAGTTTGCTAGTGGAATCTGTACAAGGAAGTGGTAAAAGCCTTGTTATATACCAGGAGAATTCGATGTGTTTTTTCTTTTTGGGGCCAAGTTCTTGGAATGTTTATGCTATGGATCAGGTTGAAGCCAATATATTTCAATGTACTTCATATAAATCTAGACTAGTATTGTAAGATAACAAATACATTCGATTATGTAACTATATGGCTCGTTTGAGTACAAGCATCCTTTAGCATGACATGAACAGTAAATGAAAGCACTTAGAGTCTCAATATTGGAGAAGAATGAGATGCTGCATGCATTGCCATGGTTCCTTGTGATAGGGCCTAGGGGTGTCATTGATTGCAAGGCTTGCCCCTAACTACCCTCACTTTCCAGATTGGATTTTTTTGAGTTTGTTTTTGGGGTCCTTCTAACTCCAAGCGGGGCTGTTTCTACTAAAGAGTTTGGGATTGGCATGCGTATAAATCCAGAGGATTTTTGCAACATAAGCTTTACTTTTCCTGTGCTGATGCAATTATCAGCATGATATTGGAAATGGTGTCATTTAGTGTTCCTTGTGATATGTATCCAGCTCAATCACTTAGAATACACAGCTCTTTCACAACACACCTAGTTTACGCTCATACATCAAGGAAGACATGCTTTGGAAGAGAGAGATATGTTTTACTTCAAGGTATTGATGTTCTACATTTGGAAACATGTTTTAACAGGTTTGTTCATACTTTGCAAAAATTAGGAGAATATAAGGTTAAGGGATGCACCTTATTTTCACCCTAACTATCTTTTGTATGTGTGAAGGGTTGTTCAGGGGCAATAAGTGATATTATTGTGAAAGAAACAGTGGAAATACATATTAAAATGAAAAAACACACACAGACAAAAGACACCGTAAAAATTGACCCCCACAGCGTCCCACTCTCGTGATATAATGCATATGGTGGGTAAACTATGGTAAATTTATGTGTATTTATGTTTATATAGATACAAATATATATATATATACATGTGCATGGGTATATATAAGTTGCATCTATACGTATGTAACCGTATGTATGTGCAAATATATATATATATATATGTGTGTGTGTTTTTCTTTTAATCATAGGGAGCTGATGCGGGTTTGCTGGGTCAGACCCCCCTCCTCTCACTGGTTTTGACTGACAGAATCCCCAACCGATGGGTGTCCATCCTGTGGATTGGACATATGGTACAGTTCCAAGGCATGAAACGCTGTAAAATGCCAACAAAACAGGGTCAGACCCCCTTCCTCTCAACTGCTCTTAACCGCTCAAAACCAGTGAGAGGAGGGGGGGTCTGACCCAGCAGACCCGCATCAGCTCCCTATGATTTAAAACATAGAAATATAAACATATAACTGCTGACAGTGAGTTAATGTACATTATACTGCGTTCGTATCAGTTGTTGTGTCCTGGAATTGCTCCCCTTGTTTTTTTGTTCCTTGGTTTAGTGATTGCACCAAAGATATCCAGTCCACGCTGAAAAGGTTTCATTGTTCAAGCAGGACATACTTCCCACTCAGCAGTGCAAAGTTGGGACTCAAAATCTCTTTGTTTCAAGTGATGCCCCAGCTCAACGCGTTGATTGGCATTTAGCCAAGCGTGCTCGACTAATTCAAAATCTAGTCCAGACAGTCTATACATTGGATTTCTCTGGTGTTTGAACCATGGTCAATCCAATTTAATCCACAGTGCTTTCTGTGAAATACCGTTTTTTACCATGATTTTTCGCGGAGAAATCACCTCCGGAACCTTCTCCCAGCGAGCTTTAGGCGCTGTCCAAATGACTTGGGCCCTGACACTCGGTGTTTGGGAGGCCCTTGGAATTGAGTTACCCTCTGGAAAATCATCTATAAATGGAGGTTTTTATGGCTTTTGATATGAAAACTAACTACAAATACTCTATAAATGGAGGTTTCAATAGGTAAATCATCTATGCATGGTCCATGAATACCGTAGCTATGTTAAGGTATATATGCGGAACATGATGTTTGACACTGTAGGATCCACCCAATGCCAAAAAGGTTTTTTCCCAATGACACACTTGTATTGGGGATGGTCCATTATTGAGTTTTTCACATGAAAGGGTTTTGTAAACCAACAAACATAGCGGGGGGAGGGGTACCAACTTGTAATGATCTAGATCTTCTTGACATCTAATTTTAAACCGATTGCGTATAATATATATATATACTATACATATACGTATTTATATATATAATGTATGTATATATATATATATATATACGTAGATCACATGAAATCACTCCTATATCTTGGCTTTCCAACTCATGGACTGGTCTTGTCAGGGATTTGTCCCTTTGAAAGAGATATAGTGGAGATAATGGAACATGATGGAACATGATTGGTTATGGGACATATGTATGTATATATATATATATATGTATATGTATATGTGTATGTAGATATATATGTATATGTATATGTATACTATATTATATTTTATTTTAAATTATATTATATATATATATACATTTTTAGTGACCACCAAGAAGATAGAACAGCAAATTGTAACTATGTTGGTTTGTTTTCTCTTGGGTAGCAGTTGCCGCATGTTTATCTATATTCTCAGTACATTATGTTAAATAGACGTTAATTTCATACTGAGATATGTGTTCAGGGTGTATTTATATATACTGTATATATATATATTGATGTTCAGTGACTTTCTGTTGCCTATCATTCAAATACAGGAGAGAGATACTAAAATGATGCATGTTGGGCATTAAGGCCCCGGTCACTGGTCCTGTTTCAACTTCATGGGAAGTGGCCTTACTTCACGTTTGTAATGTGTTTGGTTTGCATAAGGGTCGGGTGGGCTGGCTTCAATTCTGAGAAGGGGTTTTTAAAGGCGTCATGGTGTGAGGCTTTGCTCGTTTGGTATTCATCAACTGTCAAAAATTCCTTTGGTTTGGGAATGAGTATATAAGTGTGTGTGTGTGCGTGTGTGTGTGTGTGTCATCAACACCTTCACCACATGTGTTAAATGCTGGCTCATGGGTGTTGCCTAAATTGCTTTCCCCAAGTCAACCATAGGTCCTAACCTCTGGTAAGCAAACATAGCTATGGAAAATCACCATTTTTAATGGGTAAATCCACTGTAAATTGCCATGTTCAACAGAAAACTGTTAGTTTACCAGAGGTCCTATAGGTTTCAAGTCATGGTGTCATGGTCGGATGACTGAGGATCTCGTGTCTGCTGATCTCCTGGGATCCTTGGGACAAAAGGTCGTCACCAATGGGAAGCTCCGGGAAAGCCCGCAACACAATATAGAAGTTTTGATGGTTGATAGTGCTTAATGATGCTCAGTAATGGTTCAGAACAATGGTTAATAATAATGGTTAATGATACTATGTTTTAATGATGTTTAATAAGATTTTAGGGGTTCTTGACTGCAAAATATGCTGGAATCGGTAAACAGGTAGTGCGCCAATGGGTCCTGACAACAAAGGGATTTTGGCACAGACGAAACCAATTCCACTCGATTCGGGTTTAAAGTACCATGATTGTTGATTGTTGTTCAAATTGCAGCGCTTTACATTTCAGCAGCTTACATTCACTGTATATGATCCTTTGTTGTGTGTTGATTGGAAATTGGCGATGTTCGGATCTATGTTGCAGTTGGTATGGTGTATAGTGGACGTACATGTGGACACATGTGGACACATGCACACATATGTACACATATAATCACATATACAATCCCATACAATCCCTAAAAAAGTGGGTGGTTTAGAGCCAACATGTTCGCCACTTGCCAAGCTCCTCACTCTGCACCGTGGCGCCATAGGATTTGCTGACGATTCCCATGGAGGTCTTTGACGATGAAGACTTCACCAACTTCCTCCGATATGTGCCTTGGATGTTTAGCCTCCAGTCAACTGGTTGATAGCTATAGAAAGTTAGCTTTAATAGGTTAAAGCAACTATAAATGACCATGTTTCAATAGGTATGTCAAATTACCAGAGGGTAAACCAGCATTTTTCTCTGCCAAGATGTTCAATGATGCCAAAAGCGTGAGCGGAACTGTCCAAAAAACAACTTTCACATGCAAAAGACATCGTTGAAACAATTTGAACCTGCCATTGGTGTCTTAAGCTGTTCAAACAGTAAACTCTTTGGTGGTTTCAATTGTCTTGTCTTTTGTATTGTTGTGTGGTTGGAATTAGCTAGGATATGATATGATACTCATTTTTCAGCGTTGTGATCGTCGACCCAGGTCATGAAAAAGGCGATCGGCAGGTATAGGTTCAAGGTGATGCCCCATATTGAACAAAGTTGATTTATAGTTTATAACAAAATAGAACCAGGTTTTTGTTTGTTTTTGGTAGATATGTCTTTATTATTTATATATATATATTATATGTATATGTATAAGTCTGTATATACATATATAGCCATATATATAGAGATCCCAGAAGAAGGTCTTAACTCAGATCATTGAATTCTTACTACTTATCTATCCAGGTGGATGGACGGATAGATAGGTTTTTTGATGTGCCAAACACTGTTGGATTCCTTCCTGAGATGATTTCCCCACAACCAGCACTTGACTTTCAAGGCACATTCTATAGAAAGCCTAAACCCTAAACTAAGATCAATGTGGAAAATCAACATTTTTCTTTGATCATGTTCCACATTTTTCCACATCTATGTCAGTTTCCCTAGGGGACCTTGGTACCAAGGTGAGCTTTGGAAGTCTAAGCTTTTGGCTCCTGGAGCCCGGGCGAAGGGCGATCTTGATTCGCCATGCTGGTTTTTGAAACCCCCCATGGCGGTTGGCATTAATAACAAGCAATTCATAGTGAGAATTCATAGTGGCTATATATATATATATACCTATGATGAGTGATAATTAGCTAGATATTTAACCGCCGTTGGCGTGTTCCGCCGGCTCACCTGTCACATGCTTCAACGTGATGCCGTTCTGTTTTCCCGCAGGGGCTCGCAGGAGATGTGGCAAGGCAATGAGGGTTAACTAATTAACTAATCGCACGAAAGGCACATGTTGCTTTGAAAGGTAGCTAGTGCATGGAAACATGGTACAGAGTATGCATGCAGGAGACTACCGATTAGTAGATTAGAAAAGGGGTTTGGCACATTTGTCGATAGTCCGGAGGCATGGTTGTACGAGGATGTGTCGTGCTGCAGCCTTGATCTATCTTTGGGGCGTACGCCTCGAGGATGCAGGGTGAACGTGCGAGCGCTGTGGAGGACGATGTGTGTGAAGTTTTGGGAAAGCTGTATGCGATGGAGGCTTCACCACATCCGAGGAGAGGCTGGGAGAGGACAGTGGCAGCCATCGGTAAATGTTTGAAGAGGCAAGCGACGTTGCCAAGCAAGCCCGGTGGTGGCCATTGGACAAAGGAGCAGTTGGACAAGGGAGTGTTTTTGCCAAAGCAGCATTGCCCTTTTGAAGGCTGTTCGTGTGGGAGAGGGCAGGTGGCGGATGAGACCTTGGATCATGTGGCGGAGGCACATTACACCCCTGAAGTGGCCGAGGCAGTTCAAGCTTTCGGTGCCGTGGCATTTAAGGCTGCGTTGCATACGGTCTTGAATGCAGCAGTCAGTTGGTCATGCAAGCAGGGAGTTCCAGTGGTATCCATTGCTCAGGACCGGCGCGCGCTGAGGGTCTTCCATGAAAGTGTAACTCATGCAGACTTACAAGCCCTGATTTGCTTCTGTTGCGGCTGTGTGCACCCGCATTTGCCCGGAGAGCCGAGGCAGAAAATTAGCTGGAAGCAAGCTGGGAAGCCTGTGCCTGGCAAGGAGGAGGTGTTTGAAACTTTTTTGGGGCTGAGCCCGCAGCAAATAGAGGAGTTTTTCGGGATGGAGACATTCTTGAGGAGGTTTGGCAGTTGTGGCCCTGGGTTTCCGAACCTGCAGGAGGTGGTGTGGCAGAGGGAGTTGGAAGATTGGCAGTGCATTGTACCGTTCGAGATCGGGGATGTGCGGATCTTGTGCAATCCAGAAGATCGGCGGTGTCAGTTGGAACATGCTGCAGATATATGCTCGCAGTGTGAGGTTCCGATATGTTGTTCCTGCCAGAAGGCATTGCAGAAACGATCTCCGGAGATGCCTGTTAGGACTTTGAGCAACAACCTTTGGACCGGCTTTGCAGCACCTATGCTGGCAGTGGAGGACGTGAGCTACTTGGAAGCGGTCTTGGCTTCTCCTTGCATGCTTTCCCTTGTTTGCTTCTCATTGGAGGTAAAGCATGGCAACGTGATGTTGGAAAAAGCGCAGCATCAGAGGTCGCGCGTGGGGGCTCGGGGCAACATTACTTTATTTCCATTGCCACTGCAGGATATTTTTCGGGAACTACAGCGGCAGGCAAGGCAAGGTCCGCAGTTGCCTTGGGTCGGCAGGGAAATTGCGGATGCAGTGAGGATCGTGCTTCGGACCAGTGAGCTGACAGACGGGCGGGTCATTATGCAGGCCAGAGTCCGCAGGAAGATTGTTGTGAGGTTGATAGAGGAGGCAGTAGCAAGAGGGCACCCGGCATATTCGAATGTGAGGATGGAAAGTGTGATGCAAAGGGCCCTGGAGCTTCCGGAAGATGGTGTTTTGGAGGAGTTGGTGGCGTTGGCGCGCCAAAGTCGGTCTGATATGGAAAACCTGCAGGCAGCGAAGCATGGCACGCCTCCGCTTGGTGAGCGCGAGAAGGCTCGTGCGTTTGAAGGGGTGCGTCCCTCGGCGGTCACTTGCACCAGAAATGCCTACGAGGAGGTATGTGCAGGGGAGGTGGATGGCAGAGCATGGCAGGATGTGGCTGCAGCTGTTCGGGGAGAAGAGATGCACGTATTCACTGGCAGTGAGATGGTGGATCAGTTCACCAGCGACTTCTTTTGCCAGGCTGGGAAACAGAGGGTGTGAGGAAGAAGGGTGGGCCCTAAGTGTGCTTTAGTTTTTGGTTTATAAGTACGAACAAATGGAAAATGTTTCTTGACTGCAGGCATTTCCTTTCGTCTTCAAGGGGCAGTTGGCCATGCCGGACATGGAGAGGCAGCCCAGGCGACGGGCAGTTGCCGTGGAGTTGGCAGAGTTCACGGAGCTAATGGGGCAGCGGGTGGAACATCAGTTTGGTGGAGATTGGTGCTTTTCGTATGTTCGATGGAATTACTGGTTCAGGCAACAGCTGCATCGTGCAAGAGGGCTGTCCCTACGGCGTATAGGCGGTGGGGAAGATGGAGAAGGTGAATTGCGAGGAGAGGTGCTGAAGAATGCGGCGTGTGAGATCAGTGCGGGTTTGTCTGGCAAGTATTTGTGGAGCGATGGGCACATGCGGCCTGTGGGTGGGGACCTCAACAAAGTTGCCTATGTTCCAGGCCTATCCCAGGAGGCTTTGCGATTGCTGCAGGAGGCGAGACACATCATGGGGAAGCTGCCTGGCACAAGTGGTGTGAGGACTTTGATGAGGTATCGGGCCAAGGCTATGCAAGTTGCGTATGGTGCACCCGTGTTTGTGACGTTGAGTCCAGCAGAAAAGCATAACTACTTGATGCTTCGCCTAGCAAGGTGGCGCCGAACAGACCCAGCGGTAGTGCAAGATCCTTCGCTGCAGAAAGTGGCAGGCCGTTTGCGGCCAGGCCCTGAAGACAGGAGTGCATGGCCAGACTTCGAGGAGAGACGTCAGGTACTGGCTCTGAAACCAGCAGCGGCTGTGTTGGGCTTTCGAGTGCATGTGCTTTTGCTGTTGAGAGCAGTCTTTGGTATCCGGACATGCTTGTTTTGCCTCGCGTGTCAGTCGCAGAAGGATGCTGAGTCGTTTTGTAGCGATCTGGAGGGGAATGCCTCAGAACTGGTAGGAGGTGCCTTTGGGCGGTGCGCCGCTGCATTTTTCAGCATCGAAAGTCAGAAGTCAAGTGCCCTGCATGTGCATGGGCATGTTGTCATTGAAGGTTTGCAGCAAGTGGCCACGCTGGAGGAACTTGGCCAGAGGATTGTGGCGGAGGGCGAGGCAGTGGTGGAGGCGTTTCTTCGTTTCAAGCAGCATGTTTGCATGCAAGAGCATGCGATGCCCAGCAGATGGGATGAAGGTGAGAGGGCCCGCGTGGAGGAGGCTTGGCCTGATTACAGTGAGAGGGAAGATCTGTTGTTGTTGCCTCAGATTTTTTGGAGATGCCGTGGAGGAATGGGGCCTGACGGAGGAAGAGATGGTGTCTGAAGGGGAAGTCTGGAAGCAGAAGTACAGAGGGGATGTGCAGGAGGTGCAGATGACGCGGCAACATCATATCCACCCAAAAGATAAGAAGGGGGAAAGGCAGCCTCTGGCTGGGTGCAGGAAAAGTGAGAACAAGAGCCAGTGTCGTGCAGGGTATCCTATGGACAGTCAAGTGACGTCGGAGGGCATGGTAGTGTGCCCGGGAGTAGCGGAAAAATTTGGCTTGGCTTTGACTGGAAGGCGGAACTCACTAGGTAGCTTGTTTGGACCACGAAGCTGTCCGTGGCTGAATGGCAGTCATCCGGCATTGCTAGCTGCTGGCAGACACAACTCGGATGTGCAGTTGAGTTGCAGGTTGCCGCTTTGCAAACAGAGCCACTGGAGTCTCTGCAGTAAGCAATGTGTGGAGCAGGTGGGGGCAGCAGAGCTACAGAGAATAGCGCAGGCAGCCATGGCAGCCCAAATTGGATATTCAACTGACTATTGCACGAAGAGGCAAGCGGGTAGTTTATATGAATGCCGTGAATTTGCCCGTGGGCATGCAGCCATGTCTCGGAAGATAGCAGGTGAAAAGTCGATCCCGCAGGTGAGCAGGAGACATGCCCAACGGATTGTGGCCGACTGCTTCGTTCGGGGCATCGTGCGAGGGGCCGTCGATACAGAGAACCTCAACATGCATGCTGTGGCGACGCAGTGGGACCCTTGTGCGGCTGAATGCATGCAAACTTTTCGGACAGCGGTGTTGCCTGGAGCGGCGCTGTTGGAGGTCATAGAGCGCGCCTCAGAGGGCAAGTCTTTGAGAGGCATGAAGGGCAATCTGCAAGTGGTGCAAGGTGAAGTGGTGCTGCGGGACTTGGCCCTTCTGTATGGTTTGAGAGGAAGTGAGGTAGCTGTGGCTTATTTAAGCCCGTATGAATTTGTGCGTTACTGGGAAGTGAAGTTGGTAGCAGTTGTTGGCCAGGAGCCTGGGCGATGGAGGAGGGTGGTGCGTTTCCCCAAGTCTGTAGAGTTTCCAGAGTTGAGCAGGATGCTTGGTTGCATTGAGGGTATAGCAATCCTTGTGTGTATCGGTGCTTGTTTTAGGGCGTACGCCTTGAGGCAAGTGCCTAGGACGGTTAGAGGGTTTGCTGGGCTTCCGGGAGCTGAGCACATGGCTGTCGGGTGTACGCCTTGCAGCGGAGTAAAAAAGAGGCTTTGGAATCTTTAACAGGAAAAACTATAAAGCATGGCCAGTTTTTCGGTGGTGTTGTGTGAGCTGAGGATGTGGTGCATGGTTGCCTGAATTCCGAGGGTGTCCAGTAGGACGGCCAGGAGCGATGACGCCAGAACGACGAGCGCAGCTGCTGTTGGTGTATTTTACGCCTTGGGTGCTGGACGGGAGCATGGAGAGGCCGCCGCATGTGGTGCACGCGCAGCAGTTGCAGGCAGCAGGAGACGATGGGCAGAGAAAGTCGTGGCAGGAGGGTTTGAATGCTTACCTGAAGAGAGGGTGCCTGAGCCAGGAAATTTGCCAGATCATGCAGAATTTCATTTTGGTTTTTTTTGTGCGGTATCCGGCCGCCAGTGGAGAGGATGAAAGTGACGATGGGGAGCAGGATGTTGAGCTCCAGCCGTCGGGAGCTTAGTTCAAGCCTAGTTTGAGTCTATAGGAATCAATCTGACGTTTGTTTTGGAAGGTGAGATGCATAACGAAGTAGCATCGCAGTTTTGGGATCAAAGGTCTGTTAAGAATGGTAGGGCTACCGCATGTCTTACTGTGGTCACTTTGGTCAGTCACTAGTAATGCAGGGCGCACATTGCAAGGTGGAAATTCCATCAACTGTACTTGATGGTTTGAACGGAGAGTCTGAGGTCGGAGGCAATCTTGGAGATGGTCTTACCTACGAAGATTGGAGGGGATCCGCGAAGAAGGGCTGGTTTGACGCACTTTGAGAACAGCTCTCAGGCCTTTGAGCGAGTGCATGTGCTATGGCCGGAAAGTGCAACAACTTTTGGAGTCCATGACAGCATAAGGCAGCACCGGTGGAAAGACTGCAGTGGATTGTTGAGCAGTGTGAAGAAGTTGGGCAAGAACAAGCGAAAGAGGGAGACAGGGGAGGGCAGAGAGGAAGTAGCAGGAGGAACCGTTTGTAGGGAGGGGGTGCTGTTGCAGGAGGCAGAGGCTTGGATGAAAGAAAATGCTGCCCACTTGAACTCGCAGCAGCGACTGGTGTTGCAGAAGCATGTGGATCGTGCTGCGCAGGAGGCGCGAGAGGAGAGGACGGCAAAGAAGAGCAAGAGCCCGCCCTTGATGCTGTTAGTGCACGGCGGGCCAGGCACGGGCAAGTCCGCCGTGATTTTTGCGTTGAAAAAGTTTTACGTCGATGTGATGAAGTTCGAGATTGGGGAGACACTGCACCACATTGCCGGCATCAATCCATATCACTCGCAAGGTTCAGGTTCAGACATGAGTCAGGAAGTGAAGCAGAAGGAGGTCAGTAGGAGGCTGGCATTTGCGCGCCACTTGGTCATAGATGAAGTTTTTATGCTTAGTGCGGGGTTCTTTGCAGAAGCGGAGGCGCATATCAGAGCAAAGGTGCCGCAGAATAGTTTTTTTAGAGAAGCAGAGGACGGCAGTGTCCGAGGTTGGGGTGGCTTGAATGTGACCATGTTTGGAGATGTGAGGCAGATAGATCCACCTGAAGGTATTGCGTTGTATACCGTGCCGCAATCCTTTTTGACGCGGCCCCCGTCCACAGCTTTAACGCCTCTGGCTGCTCAAGGCCTGGAGTTATTGTGGGGGCAAGGCGTGGAGTTGATCGAATTTCTGGAACAAGGACCCTTGGTGGCAGCAGGCGAGGGGGGCAGAGCACAGGGCGGGGCATGTTAATGTAGCGCGGGGGTGCGGCAGGACATCAAATGGCAATCTGTCGGAGGGTCGGGTTGAGCAGGGGTGTGCCAATGGACTGCCCCTCGCAGGTCTTGGAGGAGTTCCGTGTCATGGATGTTGCGGCGAACACTCATGCGTTCTTGCATGGTTTGGAGACGACAGTGCCGGGATCTTATTTGAAGGGGCAGCTTCTCTGTGGGAATATGAATTGCAGGGGCTTGGAACAGAAGTGGCAATTGCTCAAGCAGAAAGGTGCATCCTGGGAACAATGCCGAAGCTTGGAATGTGCAGTGTGCTCGCTGGAACGTCAGAGTCGGTACAGAGTCTTGCAGGAGAGGGCCCCTAGTGCGTACGTGTTGGGGGACGCTCCTGTGGATGCAGCACTGGCGCTGGAAGGCTTCAAGGCAAACCATCCAACATTTTCAGCATCCTTGTGAGTGATGGCAAGATGGATGCAGTCATCACCTGTTGGGGAGAATGTGCCAAGACTCTACACGATGGAGCTTCAGGCCGCCAAGGCCAACACATTGCCTTGGCTCCACTGGGCGCAGGCACTAGGAATCCTCGAATGGGTTTGCCAGAGCTGCTGGGCGGACGTGGTTTGACAATCGAGGTGGTAGCAGATGGCGAAGGAGAAGGGGTGCCTCCGCCAAGCTTCTTGCCCTTGCAGCAGCTGGCAGAGGTTGGCGATTGTGCGTCAGTGAACATCCAGGGCCGGTGTGCTAGAAATCATGCCTGGGGGTGACTTCAAAGTGGTTGACGATTGCGGCGTAGCCGTCCGCGTGCACGCGGAATTGGCACGCCTCCCGCAGCTTCAGGAAGGGCAAAAAGTCGATCTGCTGCTTGCAACCAAAAGCAGCAGATTCGCCAACGTCTCCATCTCGAGCTTCACGGCCATCCGGCCGGGGGAGCAGCTGGATCCCGAAGCTGTGGCCCTGCCTTCTCGGGTCATCTTCGCCTTGTAAGTGGTCGATGCAGCCCAATGGCGGCTACCTGGGGCGTACGCTTCGGGATGTGCCAAGGTGGAAAGATTTCCTGTGGTTGCTTACAGCCCTTGAAAGCACCAGCTGCGGCCCGTCTGCGGGAGAGCCTGTGCAGAAGGTGCATGCAGAATTCAAGAAGAGATGGAAGACGGGTGCCCTTCGGGGCATCTTTGCCCTGTGAGTACTCACCTACGGCGGCCACCTGGGGCGTACGCTTCGGGATGTGCCAAGGTGGAAAATCTCACTGGTTTCCCACCTTCTTTGGAAGTGGAAAGAGTGGTGCTGGTCTCCTACCCCCTTTGAAAGCACCAGCCGCAGCAGAAGCTGGCCCATACTTGCTTTGGCATGTAGAATTCAACTATGGGTAAACGCCCGGTACAGCATTGGTTTTTGGAAAAGTGCCCTATGGCTCTGGGGGCTTTCTGAAGTGTAAGCTTCGGGGAGCACGCAGGTGGAAATAGTGCGTTTGCCTGCTTTGCATTTTGAAGCGCTAGGCACGCCTTCGCTGGCGGAGGCCTTGTGCAGAAGCTGGCCATTGTTGCTATTGCATGTAGAATGCTAACATGGATTTGAGGCCTGTCGACAAAAGATGGCAGTGCACGCGGATCCAGATTGCAAGTTGGCAAAAAAGAGAGACATGCTTGGGTCTTCGGCCCGTGAGATTTGAGTTTAACGACCAACGTATGAGGACACAAGCAGACACATGGCTGATGACGTTTGATTGTGTCAGAAAACAGCAGTCAGGGCCAGAGTAAAAAAATAAGTAGCCGGGCTTGAGTGTGCATTTTGCAATAGTGTTGAGGCTAGATGTCGTTGAAAGATCCAGTTTTGTGCAGGACACGCGGAAACCTTTGGAGGCAGGGGGGGAAGGGGGCAGGACCTGTGCCAAGAACGTGACAAGAACTTACGTGTAAAGTCGGAGCGACCAATGTAAAGGCACAGTGGTTAAAGTAGTGAGGCAGAAGACGAAGAAGACAAGGAGATCAAGAGAGATGCGCGTGTGTGTGAGAGGGAAAGGTGCAAAGGCGCAAAATGCAGTGTTTTTTCAATGTTTTGTGGTTTTGGAGGCTCGAAAGGTTAGCTCGCTAAAGCGGTGGATGCGGAGATATCAGCTGAAAAAGATTCAGGAAAAATTGCACCTCCTTGTGGCGCGAAGCACATTCCAATGCACAAAGTGGCAAAAACCAAGAGTGCGGAGGCGCTTTTTTAAGTTAAGATGTGACGGACGCAGTGCCCAACTTTTCAGGTGGATCTGGATGGAGAACATTGCAGCTGCTGTGTCCAAACGGTTGCGCCGAGCAGACGCAGGTGGCCCATGGAGGGATCCGTGGTGGCCGAGGTGCAGGGTGATGGTACCAAAATGGATGATCATGGGTGAAAACCGCTTCATGAGTTATTTTCCTAGATATCTATTTGTTGATCATGATTGTATGTACTTTTGGGTATGCGTCAAAATGGGAAAGACCGAAATGTGCAACTTCAGTAGGGACAATTTTGAGGTACTCTGATTTTGCGCCCAACTTTTCAGGTGGATCTGGATGGAGAACATTGCCGCTGCTGTGTCTAAACGATTGCACCGAGCAGACGCAGGTGGCTCATGGAGGGATCCATGGTGGCCGAGGTGGTGGGTGATGGTACCAAAATGGATGTTCATGCTTCATGATTTATTTTCCTAGATACTTATTTATTGATCATGATTGTATGTATTTATAGGTGGACAATGGTTTGTTTTACCATCCATTTTGGGGTACTCTGATATTGAGGCAAACCCATATGTCTAGATATGATTATGAATCTGACAAGTATATGATAACATAGATGAGGGCCGTCGCAGCAAGTAACCCTTGGGATCAACCAAAACCAGGCCATAGTTGCAGGTCGTGTGATCTTGGGACATGCCCGTGCTCACTTGAGCCGATGTAACCCTACAGTTGATCAGCCAATGAGACGAGCATGGCGCCATGGCAGGTCATGTTGGTTGGAAGATCTATGCTTCGCCCATTCGACTGTTGATGACAGCGGTCGCAGGTCGTGCTACGCAGCGCGCCAGATCTGGTGGCGCATGAATTTCAATGGGATGCATGGGCTGTAAGTAGATACTATTATGTGATGATCTCTTGAAACTGTGTATTTTGCAACTCACAGAGAGCATGTTTGCGGGCACCCTCCGACGGCGACAGAGGTATCATACATCTTCACAGTTATTTTATTTCTGACGAAATATCGGATGTAGATATATAGATAGCAAAATATAGACAGATGTTATACACATATGATCAGTGGATATCTGGAATATCCCATGTTTCATTAGACAATGTATATGTTCAGGGTATGTCATGTTGTTCTTAAGATGGACGCAGTGCCCAACTTTGCAGGTGGATCTGGATGGAGAACATAGCAGCTGCTGTGCCCAAACGGTTGCACCGAGCAGACGCAGTGGTGGCTGAGGTGCAATGGTGAACCATTTCACTGTTTCAACGTTTTCGAGAACCCATGAGATTCAAACGATGAATAAGACTTCCAATGATGTTGAGTCGATGGGTCATAGTGCGACAGGGGAAAATGAGCTCAAATGATCTTGAGCCCATGGGCTCAAAGTGCGGCAGGGGAAACGAAACGCCAAAGAGGGTACCATGCAGCCAGAAAAAACAAGAAGTGTATAGATGACTGTTGACAGCACGTCAGATGGCAAGAAGAAAGCAAAGTGAAACTAGTGACAGAATATGAACACACGAAAAGTCTACCCAGCAAGCACGGTTGGCAAGCAAGGTGCGACACAAACGCACGAACAGGTGACACCGACACCACAGTCACCAGCAGATGGCCACGCAGCCATGGCAGCGACACTGCTGCAAGAATATACTTGGGAAATACCCCAAGTACACCGGCGAGCGTTGCGGACAGTGGCTCCGCGTCAGCTGCGGAAGACAAGCAAGGGCCTGGTGGCGGTGATGAGATCGCAGAACGTCCTCAATTCTGAGAATGCGAAGGAGTGGTTGCAGCAAATCGACGCTGCACCACCAGCCCCTATAGCCTCCGTGTGGACTGAGGTCGATGCTTGGTTTGTGCAGCGGGGCCACAAGTTTGCCGTGGAAGGGGTGCGTCCCCTTGCCTCGCTGTGGGGGTCGGCAGAAGAGTTACCGCCAAATCTGGCAGTGTCCTTAGCAATGCATGGGCAGCTGGCCTTGCCAGAACAACCGGTGTTCGCAGAAGAAGAAGAATGGCGTCTGTACCCTTTGAACTTCGCTCCACCAACCCCAACGGCAGCCGCGAACCAAGCCGGGTTGCACAAGTCCGTGCCTCACTGGAACAAAGGCTGGAAGATCGAATATCACGGATCGAGCCTATACGGGATCAGCAGCGCCATCGCGGTGGGCGAGGTGTTCCCCAGTGAGCCCGATACTGCGGCCCATCGCTCTGCTTAAGTGGAAGAGGCGCCTATTCCACAGGTTCGTTGAAGATGGCAGCTCGATATGCGATCACTCACTATTTTCACGACCCGCTTGCGCCAATGCATCCTTGGGTCGTGAAGATGGTGCTGTTGATTGGCATTCCCAGCGACGGGGGTGACTTGCCGGTGGCAGCATGGGAGCAACAAGACAGAAGTGGCCTCTCGAAGTCCGAGAAGAAGAGAACCCCCGCCTTCAAGCTCACCGAGGACGACGACAGGCTCAGCAAGCGCCAGATGCGTTCAGAACAAGGAGGACGTGCTCGTGAGAAGGACTGGACCACTGAGGCTTTGGACTACAGTCAATCCACAAGCTCTAGGGGGTACCCTCTGGGGATTTGTGTTGGGGCCATGAAACCAAAGGTGGCGAAAAAATACGCCCAGGAAGGAAAAGTGCCCATGATCACTGCGAAGTGGCACCTTGAGGCGGAATTGCCTTGGGCGCGGCCATTACGTTGAGTCTGAAACGGGTGAGATCCACAGTGGATGCTTTGGCCTGTCTATGTGGTGGGATGGGTTTGGTCGCCACGCTCCCTGGGGCGTACGCCTCGGGGCGCTGGGTGGCCAATGAGAAGCGATCCTTCTGCAAGTGGAGCTCAACCTTCAAGGGGTGATGTGCAAAGTGGTTGCTTGGTGGGCTTCAGCTTTTGCAAGCGTATGACAACTGCTCCTTGCAACCCGTTCTGGTGGCTATGGTGGCTATGTGCTGGGATGGGTTTGGCCCCGAACCTTCCTAGGGCGTACGCCTTGGGGGGGGTGGGTGGCGAAACAGAATGCTGTTTTCTGCAAACAGTGCGGAAACACTCTCTATGCTTTACCGAACTACCGAACTGCCGGGACAGGCCAGAAGTGGCCATGTGTGGAACAAAAAGAGGGGCGGTGTGGCCGGGCAGCGATGCGTTGAGCCCAATGCAGAAGCAAAGCTGCACGGCATAGGTGACAGAGAGGGAAGTATTCATTCTACAACATGTGGGACATGTCCAAACACATTCGTATTGGAATGCTTTCTTTCATTGGTGTTGGGGATTTGCAATGTGTTGTCGCCAACATGTGGAATTTGCATCTTCATCTTGCTGAGGTTGTAGAGGTTAAGACACAAAGTATGGTATAATGACTAGCAGTACCTGATCTAGGCGATCCTCTGCAAGGATACCCCGTCTCTCAATGTTATGTGCCTGTTACAAGCAGACATATATACATAAGAGACATTTAGGAGATGGATAGATATATATGGCTGTGTCTGTTTTTAACGGGTGCAGTTTTTAGTAAAGGCAGGAAGTTCGATTTGTGCGAATCATACCCCCGAATCATACCCCGAATCATACCCCCGAATCATACCCCAAAAAATCATTATTATGAATGTTTCTTTTGGGATCGTTTGGGATTACATTGGCCTCACCTGTTATAATGAACCTGACAAGCTAATTGACCAGTGTTGGCCAGACCCGATGATCCCTGGCTACCTTCACATACCTTCACGGAGTGGCGAATCTTCTCCACGCGCACAGGGTCTCATCATTATCCCTAAGCTGGCTGGCTCTGGGTGGCTGGCTGGCTGGCTAGGTGGCTGGCTCAGTTGCTGCTGCTGGTATAGGGCTGGCTAGTTGCAGCTGGCTGGCTGCGTGCCTGGCTGCTTGCTGTGTTGCTGATGAGGCTGATGAGCGGGATGACTCTGTGTGCGGCTGGCTGGCTGGCTGGCAACCAAACCAAAAATCCGCCGAAGAGGAACATAAGCCTAAGCGTAGCTGAACTAAAGGTACATGAGAAGAACATCCAGGAGAGACGCTGGCAGGCCGGCGGATATAAATCATAGATGTGCATTTAAATCTTCACATTCTTCACATTCAGGTCCTGTCCAAGGTCGTCTGGCAGGTCGAGCCATTGCAGCCATTGAGTAGCAATCGTAGTAGGTTCACGGTG